AGCTCCCTGGTGGCTGCAGGTGGCCTGGGGAGACTCCTGGCAGAGGGGCTGTTTGAGCTGAGCATGGAAGATCGGGAGGACTCCCGGCCACCCCTGGACACACTGGTGGTGGATTCAGTGGAGGGCCTGCAGGTGAGGAGTCCCCAGGAGATGCAAGGCCCGGATTTCAGCTGCCCCACTGCACCTTGAGGCCGGCCTGCCTCCCTGCCTCTCAGGAGCCTGGACTGGCTCTGAAGCCAGGGTTCCCTCTAGTCATTGTTCCCTTCCAGCCTCCAAGAATGTTCTGGAAGGTCAGGTTTCAAGCCCTGCTGCTCAGGGGCATCTGTGTCCCAACCCCCTCCCCCACAGGTAACCAGCAAGCTCGGCTTTGGTGCGGCCAGCTCAAGGCCCGGGTGTCAATGGGCCCTCTATGTGACCAGCAGGGCCGATGGGGCTGCCGCTGGCTGTCATGGGCACGGGCGAGGCCTGGACACACAGTCCCACTGTGTGGGGCCCGGCTCATGACCGGCCTGTGGGCAGTGGGGGGCTCCTAGGAGTGCCCTTCCAGCCTGGGGGGCACTTTGGACAGGCAGGGTGGTCTGGGGAGATGGCGTGTGCCGGGTGGCCTCAGGAGCCGCCATCAAAGAGGCCCGGCAGACGTGGCGCCAGGCAGGCCCTGCAGCAGGTACGGAATGGCTGCGGTCAGCCTGTCCATCCTGAGGGCCCTGGGGGGCGGAGGAGGCTCCACAGCAGATATACTTGGGGTGAACAACCTTCCAGGCTGCCTGGGGTTCGGGGACTTGCAGCTAAACCCTGGAGAGTCCCCCACTGTGGGCTACTGCCTGGGGCTCAGGACAGGACACGGCACTGATCTCACTGGCCCAAGCAGCTTCCTTCCTGTCCGGTGGCTTCTGAGTCACCGGCTAGCCCTGTCCTGGCTAGACGTGCCCGGGGCCATTTCGTCCACCCGCTGCCCCCACACAGGTCCAGTCTCCATCTCTCCCGGGCGTCTCTGGGGCAGAGTTGCTGGCCAACCCCATCTCTAAAGAGAGGCCCACGGCCACACCGGAGAGGCCCCGCTCAGGCCTGCAGCTGGCCCTCCGGCCCTCCCCGCCCTGCACGGCCCTGCAGCCACCCGAGGCGCCCAGGACCCTCCTGCCTGCCTTCTGACCCGCCGCCGGGCTACTCCTTCTGCCTGGGCTGAGCCTCTCCTCCTGGTCACCTCCTCACCTGCAGGACTCGGGGGACTTGCCCTCTCCTTCCCCGAGGCCGGGGTCAGGGGCTCTACCTGAGCTCACAGACCCCGGGTCTTCCCCCTGGTGCACTTTTCTGTGGGCCTGTCCCTTGTCCCACCAGACGGCGAGCTCCTAGGATGGAGAGCCTGGCCCAGGGTCCCTGAGCAGAGCTCAGCCCAGGCAGGTAGGGGAGGGAGCAAAAGCATGCTCTGAGCAAGGACCCTGGGCCTGGTGCTCCAGGCACAGTGGTCCCTACAGCCCATGGGGTTGCGGCCATCGTCACCCCTTTCAGATGGGGAAACTGAGGCACAAACACCTGCCCAGGTGAGCGAGGGAGGGCAGAGGCAGGACTTGAGTGGCGAGGACCTGAGTCAATGAGTGGAACTTCCGCCCTCTCCAGGGGCCCTGGATGCCACACGGGATGGTTTAGGTCCCTTCCCTCCCTGGAGGGGACCCCCTCGTGTCCTCAGGAGAGAGCTTCTGCCTGCGGGGTGTGGTTCAGAGGTGCTGACGGGGACCTGGCCATGGGGGGGCTCAGGAAGCTGCTGGCCCCTCCTAAGCTGGGTGTACCCCAGGGTCTTCAGGGCCACTGCCTGAGTTGTCAGATGGGGAAACCGAGGCCCAGAAAGGGACCCAGAATGTGACAGTCATTAGGTCCCCTCCTATTTGTCAGGTAGGAGGGGTAAATACCCCTTGTCCTGCCTGAGAGGCTTCTGGGGACCTCTCACCCTCCCCTGTCTTCCGTCTCAGGGACACAGGCCACCATCTGTGTGCAGCCCTTAGGGTGAGGCTCTGGCTTCACCCTGGGCAGGGCAGGGACCCCCCAAAGACTCTCCACCTTCCTCCCAAACCTCCTTCCTCCCCAGAGCCGGGAGCCGGGCAGAGGCCCTGCTCGTACTCGGCAGAGAAGCCTCGGAGCTGGGTGCCGACGGGAGGTGGCCCCTCAGCCTGAGCCTCCAGGTGGCTGTGGCTCTTCCCCATCTCAGGAGGCCTCCTGTCACCAGTTGTGCCCGATGCCCACAGCAGGGACGAGGCGAGATAGGATGCTTCATCTCCAGCCGGCCTTTGCCACAGGAAACTAAGACAGAGTCAGTCGCACTCTGGCCAGTGGGGTCTCTGGGGAAGCTGGAGCTCTGTGACCGTGCTGGGGACCCCCTCTAGAGGTGGATGGCAAGGTAGAGCATCCCACAGAGGCTGGGCCACCTTGGGAAACAGCCAATAAGCCCACTCCTCCCCTTGGACCCAGAGATGTCACCCAGCACAGCGGGGCAGAGCCAGGAGGAGGAGCTGTCCCCGAGCTTGCCTGAGCTGCACATGGGAACCTCTTTGGGGGACTTACCCAGACCCAAACCCAAGAAGTTCTGTTTCCACAGTCTGAGCTGAGAACCAGAAGTGCAATGTTTAAAAGCTCTCCAGGGGTGGTGACACGGTGGCTCCTGACACCTTGCCCAGGGCCTGGGGTAGTGCAGCCTTTGGAGGCTGCAGGAAGGAGGAAGAGGAGGACAAACAGAGCCCTTTCCCCTCCATTAAGACCCCTGGACGGCAGCATCCCCGTGTACGATGGTGAGACCCGCAGCTCTTGACCTGTGTAGGGCTCAGGGGTCCGTGAACTTGGGCCACCTCTAAATGAAACGCAGCATCTTTCACCGTGACCGCGTCACCAGTGGAAGTCACAGGTGTTTTTCGACCTCAACGGGTCGTCACAGATCATCCTACAACACTGTTCTTGCTTATCGCTGCGGCACCATGGCCTTGGCACTCAGTGAGTCCCTAAAGCAGTGCAGGGTCACCACCCACCAGCCCGCCTCTCCAGGGCAGTGTTCTCGGGGTTGCTTGGACTTGGTTTTGGAGCCTCCAGGCTTCCTGACACTCCCGAGAGGTTGGTCGCTCCAAACAGGTGGGGGGCCCTGCGTGGGCCATGTAGGGTCAGAGCCCTGAAGAGGGGACCCAAGGCTGGAGCACGTGGGGGACAGAATTGGCACCTGCGGCCCTGTGAGCCTTAGGGACAGCGTGTGGGACACAGACCCCTGAGAGAGCGTGATGTAGGCAGAGGGCCAGAGCCGCATGGAAGGAGCTTCTCCGAGGGTCAGCCCCGGCCCCGGGGCCTCGCCCTGGACCACAGCCTCGGGGGCACCTTCTGCGCCCTGTTGTCCAGGATCGGCCTGCTCTGCCAGGGGCTTCATGTCCTGGGCACACTCTGGGCCAGAGCCTCCAGCTGTCCCCTCCCTTTGCCCTTGGGCTGTGAGCGGCCACCTCCTGGGCTCATCAGGAGAGGACCCCGGGCCAGCTCCAAAGCCCTGTCTCCCGAGGTCCCTTTGTCTTAAACCCTGCGTTTCTCCATCTTGTTCGCGGAGGGAGAAGCAGAGATCACAAAGCCCCGGCAAATGGTTTTTATAAACTCTTATTTTCTTGCCACAGAGCTGCCTTTAATTAGCTCCGAGGACTACAAAGGGAGTGTTATAACAGCAGCCCAGGGAGGAAGGAGCCCAGGGCCGCGGGGCTGCTGCTGCCTGTCACCAGCCACAGCCGGGTTTGGCGGGAGTGGATCCGAGGGCCCATGTCCCCCACCCCCCCATCGGCCCTGGGGACCCCCTCTGAGCCTCAGCCCCAGCAGGGAAGCGCCTCAGCTGAAGCTCGTCGCCAAGCACCCAACTGTGTCCCTGGCCCCAGAGCCGGCTGCCCCAGGAGAGAAGGGCGGGCGGCCCGGCTGACCTGGGCTGACCACCTCGGCTCAGGAACGGCGGTGCGACCCCCAAACCCTGACCGTCGGTCCCCCTCAGCCATCCTGTACTGGAAGACACGGGTCCCTTAAATAACGCGGCGGCGGCACAGCCCCAACCACAGCCCTCCCTCACCTCAGACGATCAGAATGTCAGAATCCCAGGGGACACTGTTGGGGCCACAGGGAAGTCAGGTAACTTGCATACGGTCACTCAGCAAGGAAGCCACTGGTCCCTGGGACTCAAGCTGAGAGGCTCTAGACCCCCAGTCTCAGGGCCATCCCCTCATCTGGGCTCGTGCTGGGGAGGAACAGTGCCCGAGGGTCGCACGACTGCCCTAAGGACCAGACACAGGCAGGGAACCCCCCTGGGAGTCTGGACCCCAGTCAGCGGCTCCAGGGGGCATCCTGGACTCCCATCCTTGCTGCGGAACACAGCCCAGAGCTCTGGGACCCTCCGGGTCATGAATAGAGGCAAAAACCACCCCAGAAACACTTTCTTCTCCACCGCGACCAAGTCCGCCACCTCCCGAGACCTTCCCCCCGCTCTGCAGACGCAGCTTCGGCGCGGCCCTGGGCAGGACAAGTTCTCCCAAAAGCCCGTGGCCTGGTCCTCCCGGAGAGGAGGCTCAGCCTCACCCTCACCGGCCTCCTCGGCTGTCCTCTGAGCCGGCCAGCCCACATCTGGTGGCAGGTCCAAGCTCTGGCGGGCCAGGGGCTGGGACAGCAGGGCCTGGAGCCCGTGAGTGGGGGGGGGGGGGCCAAGGGCCATGGATACTCCCCCTGGTCCTCCCCACCCCAGACCCTCTGAGCCTGGCCCTGGAGGTCATGCGGCACTCCTTGCTGCACAGTGTCCCCACCTGCTGAGGGGGGAGGTCCCACAGCCAAGGGACCATGGGGGCCAGCAGCCCATCTTGCCCTCGGGCTGCGGGAGGCCAGGGGACTCAGGTAGACAACCTCGCCCTCGAGGGACAGCAGGTCTGTTGGTGGAGGGATGCAACTGGGGCCGCAGCTCCCCACCCGCCAGGACTGGCCCAGGACAGGGAGCCTGGGCCGTGGTTACTCACCGCGGACGAAGGTGGGCGAGTAGGTCGGGAAGGAGTCGAAGATGCTGTTGGACGCCATGCCGCGGTCCGCAGGGGACAGAGGCCAGCCCTGGGGGGCTGGGCTGGGGCCGCCTGGTTAGCTGTCCTCGTTTTCTGGTTTGTTTGTTTTAATTTTTTTTCTAGCTACTTTTGAAAATAAAAGGGGGGGCGGGGGGGCTCTTTGTTTGTTTGGGGTTTTCTTGGCTGTGTCCCCCCGCTGCTCAAAAAAGAAAAAAGGAAAGAGCCCGAGCCTGCGCGGGAGGGTGAAGAAAGTCCCCGAGGAAAGTAAGTTGCTGTTTGTACCCAAGAACTCGGATTCCCGGTCCCACAGGAATGTCTGGCCACAGACTCAGCAGCGCGGCGCACGCAGCCTGGGTCATTAGACGGCGGCCGGTGGAGGCCGGGCTGCAGCAGCCGGCCAGGCCCGGTGGCCCGGAATGAATGAATGAGGCTGGCCTCCCGGCCACCGAGCAGGGCTGCAGGCGGCCGGGGGTGGGGACCACCAGGAGCCAACCAGCTCCCGCGCAGGGCCCGGAGGCGGCGAGGGCCTGGCCTTGTGGTTCTGTGGTCGAGGCCCGGGCTTCGCCGTGTCACCCAACCTCAGCCTACAGGATGCCGAGGCCAGCTCGCGGCCTGGGCCCATTGGCTGGGCCGCGGTCACCTGGGCCGTGATGTCAGGCCTCTTAGAAGATCTTGTGGCTGTCTCTCTCTCTCTCTCTCTCTCTCTCTCTTTTTTTTTTTTTTTTTTTTTTTGGAAAAAGAAAAGAAAGAGAGAAAATTAAAGAAAGAAAAAAAAAAAAGGTGATGGTTTTTATTTGTGGGACCGGCCTCCGCACGCGGCCCAAGAAACAGAACTGAAAGCAGCTTGGGGCGGGCGTCGGGCCGCGGTTTGGACGCCGTGTGGAGGCTCCTTCTTAATTAAGGGCAGCCCCAGGCCTCTCACCAGGCGCCAGGAGCCCGGGTCCACCAGCGGGCAGAGGGCTCCTCACCAAGCCGCCTCACGCCCTGCTGCCTGGGACGGTACCACGTGTGCGGCTGGGTGGCACTCGAGGGGGTTTTAGGGGAGCTGGGATCCCACACAAATGGGAAACACATGAAGCGGCCGCAGCCTGCCCACCGAGGCAGCCTTCCTTGGGAAAAAGCCGGCCACATGATCATGCCAGGAGGCCCTCGCAGAGCTGGGGTCTAGCCTGAGTGTGTCACTCCGGCCCTGTGCCCAGCCGGCCCACCTGGGCCTCTCCTCGGGGTTCTCTGCTCCAGCCTGATGCTCAGAGCTCCCTGCCTCTGGGCCTTTGCACATGCTGCTACTCCACCTGAGGGGCCCTTTGCCAGCCCCATTTTGAATTTGTCATGTCCTGGGGGATTTAAGGGCCAGGGGGACTAGAAAATACAAAGGACCCAGGAGATGATTCAACCCTCCACTTCCACGTTCCCAGAAGCTAAGTCAGGCTGGGGAGGCTGTGGCCTCTTCCATCTCCTTTGTAGACTCTACTTTCCCGTTTCCCAGGGCAGACCACTGAGGCCCAGGGGAAGGAGCCAGTGTGGTGCCCTCCAATACCCTTTAAACGAAGCCCCCAGACCTCAGGAAGTCCCTGCACAGTCTGGCCCCCACCCCTACCCTCTCCCAGGGAGTCCAGGCTTGGGGCCGGGTCCCAGCACCAGCCTTGGACTCAGAGTGGCCCCTGTAGGCCGAGAAGGAGAAGGGACAACGTCCAGGAGGAGGATCGGCTTGCTCAGGTCACCGGGGCTGGTTTCCGTCCCCACTGGGTGACCTGTGAGTGGACACGGACCCTCGGGGCCTGCCCTGGAGACACGGAGTCCAGCCTCCTGTCCCCGCGAGAGCCCCAGCTGGGCAGCGGGGAGCAGGCTCACAGCAAGGCCCCCATCGGGTCCGGTGCCGGCTCCGTGGAAGGGGAGCTGGAGCCTAGGGCACGTCCTGGGCTTCTCTGGGACTCAGTCTTCTTTCCTGGAAAACGGGGAGGACCCCTCTGTGGGAGGGCGGGCCCCGGCTAAGGATGCGGCAGACGCTGGTTTCCTTGGCCGGGCCCCGGGGCGGTCGGGTTCCCTGATGAGTGAGCTCACGACGGTCAGCAGCGGGGAGGCCGTTCCCACCCAACGCATCCTCACCGGGGGCCTGGGGGGGCATCCTGTATGGAGTCTGCGTGCTGTGGAATAGGTCAGGGTGACAAAGCCGGAAGACCCCCCATTTATGAGAAATGGAAACCGAGTCCCCTAGAGGAACAGACTCATCTAAACTCACCCGGTGACTCAGTGGGACCTGTCCCTTGTTCCCAGCCAGGGGCTGTTTCCATTGACACCGCCTCTGGTTTCTAACGCACCACCCCACACGCTTCGCTGTTTTTTCCGCACCTATGGGTGGGCCCCCCTAAGCTCTAGGCCTCCCTGAGGGGCTCTCCCTCCCCAGAAGCAGAGTCCGGGTGCAGGAGTGGAGGAGGGGTGCTGTGTTGACTCAGGTGTGCAGTGCGTCCTGGGGACAGTGCAGCAGATGCTCCAGTGTCAGGCTTGGTCCTTGCACCTGAGGAACTAACAATCTCCACATGCCCCTTGATAGGCATGTACCAGACTTTGAACAAACCCCAGGAAGCCGCCCGGGGAAGCAGAAAGAACATGGGGGCTGGAACCAACCATACCTGAAGCCCGTTTTGGTTCTAATGAGCTATGAGATTGTGGGCAAGAGGCTTTCGTCTTCTAAGTCCTGAAATCCTTGACTGTGAAATGGAGCCAATAGCAGGACTCACTTCCCCAAATTGTAAAGACAGTTAGGTGAGAAAATAATTGTGCATAGACTTGGCTCACAGTAGGTGCTCAATTCCATGGGGGGTGGGGGGGGGGGGGGTGGGAGGCTCTTTTTCCTTTGACTCCTGATTGTGTGTTCTCTTGGCATCCAGTTGGCAGACAGATTTATTTTTATTCTCCACTGGAAAAAGAAGCTAGATCTGTTTAATAATAATAAAAAAAAAGATTGAAGGAGAGAATCATAAAAAAAATAGGAATCATGAAAATACCATCTTAAACCTTTTATTTTGCTTTTAAATCTAACAATTGTGCATGGAGTTGCTTTCCTCTCATTCTCTGGCAGAAGTCCACCCGCAAGGTCTCTTTCTACTGTCCAGCTTGGACATGCCCCAATCTTCTACAACCGTCCACTCACCCTAATCATTATTCTTATTTTTATTTTTAGCAACTTGCTTTCGCCTAGTCTTTCTGAAATATTCAACCTCATTCTCATAAAAACAGAGACTCCAGCTGGGTATCATAGTCTCCTGCCGTCCACCGTGAGTGGAGTCCGGCCAAGGAAACCCGGGAGCCAGGCCGGGGACTCAGAGACCCCTGTGCCCCTGGGGGGTGGGCAAAGCCAGCACCGAGCGCCCCCATCGCCACAGCAGGAAGCCACCACCACCTGGGGGAAGAGGCACCCAGGACGGTGGTTTCCTGAGGGCCCCGCCAGCAGAAGCAGGACCATGGCGGCCCCGGCTGGCATTTGCTGGGACCACAGGGGTGACTTGGCCACTCTGGAGATGTCACCTGACACAAAGGGCAGAGACCTGGATTGTCCCTCTCCCCGCGGGTGACCCGAGGACAGGCAGGCCCAGGATTGGCCTCATAGCAGGGAAATCCTGTGACCTTGGAGACACACCTGACTCTGGGGGAGCAGAAAGGGTGAAGCCCAGACGGGCTGTGGCGGCCAGCGCCCTCTGAGACGTGCAGGTGAGTCCCAGAAGCTGGCTGGGGGCCGCTGGGAGAGCCCCTTCCTCCTGGGACCCGTGATGAGCCCGCTCCCCTCACCCGCCTGCACACGGGTATTTTCACCCTGACCTTGGGTACTGGGCCCGGGGAATTGAGTCGCCAATCATGAGCCCTGGCTGCAGGGCCCCATTAGGAACGTCACAGTTCACTGTGACAGCAGCCCCTGAGCCCATCAGGGTGCCCCCAGCAGCAGGAGGGACCCTGATGGCTTTTCAGATGAGGATAAGACGAATCCCAGGGATGAGCCCTGAGTTTCAGCCTGGGGGGGGTGCATTCCATCGACTCGGGCCTTTCAGGTTTGGATGTGAGGTGAGCGCTGGCCCAGGGGTTCCGATCCTGCCACTGGGCGGGGCCCAAAGAAGGGGCGGGCGGGGCCTTGGCTCCCTGCCACCAGCTGCCAGGGGAGCCTCACTTCAGGGGTCAGCAGGGAGACACCCAGACGTCTCCGGCCCAGGCAGACCTGCCCCCTGCTCTGGGGTGAGGATGAGGCCCGCAGGGCTGTGGGGCCCACCAGGGACCAGGACACCCGGGCTGAGCCCGGGGTGGTGAACTGAAGACCCCCATTTGGGCGACACCCGTCGAGTGTCTCCAGCCATCCTGGGCCACAGGCTCTGGGAACAGCGGTCTCACACGCCAAACCGCGTCACGTCCCGGGGAGCGCCAGCGGTGGAAGGAGGCCTGGGTCACCAGCTTGTGCACGGCAGACGGGGGTCAAACCCAGCCTGCCCTCCGCCTGCCCTCCAGGCTGCTCTCCCCCTTGACTTTCCTTCCTGTTGTTTGTTTGCCAAAGCTGCCCCGGTGTCCCCTTCACGGCCAAGCCCGCCCCTTCCACTTTCCGGCCTCAGCCCCTGGGCAGGACCCTCCCTGGGCAGGACCCTCCCTGGGCAGGACCCTCCCTGGGCAGGACCCTCCCTGGGCAGGACCCTCCCTGGGCAGGACCCCTGGCTGCTGCCCCAGTTCAGCAGCCTTCCGACTTCTCAGCCCGCAGGGTCAGTGGCAGTGAGGACAATCTAGACGTCCTTAGGGGACCCCAGTAGCTGTGATTCCACCAGCAGCACAGGTTTGGCTCTGAATGGGCTCCGGCCAAGTTGGGGAGCAGCGTGGCCCCTGAGGGTTGGGCCGCCAGGCTGAGCTGGTGGGTCCCCCGCCTCCTCCCTGGGGCCTGCTGACCCTGCTCCTCCATGCCAGGCCTCTGGGCAGGCACCTCGGCCCCGGGTGCCCTCAGAGGGAAGCGTGCGGGAGACAGAGCCGAGGAACCTGAGCTGGGGGACGGGAAGGGCCGCTGCAGGCCCAGCAGAGGGGTCCACCCCAGTCCTGCTGCCGGCACCTGCAGCCACGTCCCTGTGTGACCTGGCCTCCTCCCCTCCCTGATGTCCCTGCAGGAAAGTCCTGGGCGGTCAGTCGAGCCAGGTCAGCCCCAGCCTGGCACTACCCACCCAGGGGGCTGGTGAGAGGGCTTTCGGAACCCAACTGTCCTCACCTGTAAAATGGGGACAATAAAAAGCCCCTGGCTTCTCCCGGGTGAGAAGGCGAGGAGGGGAACCCCGGGAAGGACACACAGTAGGCCTTCAGCCAGGACGAGCTCCCATCTCTGGGTATTTCAGGGCCTGTAGCCTGAGAGCCACAGGCGCAGTGTGTAAGTATGTGAGTGTGCGTGTCTGTGTGAGTGTGCGTGTGAGTGTGCG